AGAGGAATTTCGGCAGCAAATCATCACAAAGAAGCCATGAAAGCCTGTTTAATACTTGCAGGTGGCACCTTGTCCAGGTGCTCTCGGGAGTTCACCACCTGACAAACAGCAATCTGATACACAGACACTTTAAGACTGTAAGATCTAAAGGCAGAAAGACAAGTAAAGTCAGTTTAGTACACCTCTTTGCTTTACCAATGCAAGATAGTGTGTTGTTTTTGTAAAAAATTATTAATTTATTTTTTTCCTAATCCATTTTTCTAGTCTTTTTGTGTTGAACAGTTTTCAGATTTTCAAGTTACCAAAGCAAAACCTTCTAAACTCCTGGGGAAATTAATATTTCTTATCTTAGCATCAAGAGGTGTCCCATCCCCAGCTCCCTGTTGGTGTTTGGTGAAATAGCTTCAGTAGCTGCTTACCTTCTTTCACTATTCTGTACTGCAGGCACTCCAAATCACTCTAATTCTCTCTTCTCTCCTATGCATTTACCCAAGATTTTCCATATTTGAGCTTTCTTTTGGCTTTCAGGAGTTATTGTAATGATTTTTCATATGGTAACACATTGGCATTCTTCTCTTTCACTGTGTAAGTAACATGCTGACCCCAAAACTAATGCCGCATTTCATGCAGAATTACTGGTCTCAGAGCAGGAGCGCTCCCATTTACACTCCCTACAATGCAGTATTTGGTCATGCACCCCAGAACTGCAGTGGCTTTTTTCCCCTTCACTGCATCCCAATTATCTCTTTAATGCAGGTTTAAAGTGTGTTTTTCCAAATCCTCTTTCCCTGCCACTATTTGAGGGCCAATTTGTGTGTCTAAGTTTTGATTGTTGTTGTTCTATTTCTTTTTATTTTCCCCTTATTTGAAAGTCTTCCCACTTCAACAGTGTATTGCAGTAATGGGCTGCTTTCATGATCTTCTTTCCCCTCTGACTGTAAATACCAGTAAAACCTCTACATGATGATAGAAACAACTGCATTGCTATTCCCTGCTACTCAGACAACTTTAAAATAACATCCTTCTTCCTATTTTGGCAATCTGAATTTATTTTTCAAGTAAGATTTCATGAGAAAGTGCCCACAGATCTAGGAAAGGATTTTGTTGTAGGATATGTGTGTAATGCTCTCATTTCAGCCACTCATTTTCAGTTCTGTTCTAGTGCATTACTCTATAGCCTTGAGGTAGGGGCAGTCATCTGAGAAGGGAAGGTGAGAGCACAAGGGGCTGGAGAGGGACTAGCAGATCAGTCCTCAGAGGATTTGGGCAGAATAGCACAGGGTTTACACAACCTCAGCATTGATTATCAGATATCAGCTGCTAGGGGTATGTATAAAAGCAGAAGTCTAAGCAAATAGGTAGCTGAACATCACAGTATATGATGAGCTGAGATGCTCCTGGTGTTAAGTGCACACACAAAAAATGTGCCTCTGCTTATTTGCATCAAATATGTCTATATTTACCGGGCCTCGTCCAGTGAAAAGCCCTGTAAAACATTTATTCTGACTACATTCACATCAGTACATACAATACTCAAGGCTCACGGCAGTGTTGTAACAGTTACAAGAATGCTTTCCCCATGCAAGTGAGGAAAAAAAAAAACAACTTAAAATTTACACAGAAGCTAGATGTAACAGGATGAAATAAAGGCAGTATAGTGAAACTTTAACTCTTACATTACATCCAGCTATCCATTACATTTTCTTAAATAAAAACCGGCATTGGCATACAACCTATTGTCACTTTCATTAACACCCATCAATGCACATCAGCCAGCTTGCTATATTTATGCATAAAAATAGAATAACCTCCAACTCAGAAAAAAAAAATACCTTTTATTTCAAAGCCATCTAGCATGGCAATGAAATCTTGGTTCTTATGAAACCAGAATCCCTGACCGTCTCCACCTAAATCCATTATTTACAGTGAGCAATTTAAGCAGCACTTGTACACAGGCTCCAATTCTTCTGTCAGGAAGAAATACTATGATCAGGGCAGGTTTTTCTACAGGACAACAAAAACGGCCATGGTTTATTAAAGCGCTCTGGATGTGGCCTTGCTGCCTCTGTGGAAGTCAAGAGGAAAGGTAAACTCTTTGCATCTTTCCTGAACGCTGCATAAATCTGCTCTGCAGAGCCTTTTTCATGTAAATAAACGTTGGACCTTTGCATACCACCTAGCAGGCATCTTTGTGTTGTCGTGATGAGTTCAATTCACTTACTGAGCTGAACACTCAGTATCTGTTATATTATCTATAAAGATGCAGGATTAACGGTCTGAGTCTGTGTTCACTCAGGGTACTCCTACAAACATGCTACAAAGCCCTCAACATCCCACCTCCACTGTCCCTATTCATTTCTGGGCCCTGGAAACCCCACCCAACCCCTCAAACATTTTTATATTCCACCAACAGAACCACCCTAGGTTTTGGTATCTGCTCCCAGGACTGCCTTAACATTAATCCAGCTTCTGCCTAATCTGAAACACAAGAAATAGTCAATGATATACAAATAAAACATTTAAGAAATCTGTTGTTATTGCTTTGCTGGTATTTGTAAATGCTACAGTTGGTGCCATTTCATTAACCATCAGTTAGCATTAAATAAAACATTAATTTTCAGCACATGTTGATGCCCAGTCATTTCTTCAAAAGTGTTCCACAGTTGAAGTACTGCCCCTTTTCCTAAACCTGTCATCTTCCTGACCAAATCCTATACTTACTCATGGATGTGGTAGCACATGAATTATAGACACTACCCTTACTTTCATCTGTGTAAGTCAAAGTGTATGGTTTTGGTCTTATACCTTGCAAAGTTCCCATTTTGACAGTATTTCCTGTGATAATTTACAATTCTGTCAATTCCTACACTTGCAATTTAGCTACTGCACTATCTATTCTGGTAGTGGTTTAAAGTGTTTTCTCCTCTCTCCCAGATGAAAAATTGTAGTATAAACCTTGGCTACTTCTAGCAGCTGCACAGAGGAAGCTGAATATTGTATCAGCCTGACATCTACTTGCCGTATTTGCACTCTCGTCCACAGTTTAGGTGAATCTGGACCACTTACATGTAATTAAAAAAGCATATTTTTTATGTAATAAAAAAAAAGTTAGGAAGATTTAATGAGAAGACGTGGATATTAAACAGGCAGTAGAGGAAGGGACAGACTAATCTCCATTTTCCATAATTATTCCAAAACTATACCAAAATGCTAAGTACTGAGAATTTTACCTCACAATTAAAATGTTGGTTCCATTCCAAAACCCACCTGAAATATTTCTTAGGCTGGATGCATGCTTACACCTACATAAATTGAAAGCTGACACTATACCTTGCAAATACAAAAATGTGCCTACACTTATAGGCAAACAAAACCAAAAGATCTCTACTAGCAGCCTTCATCTCCTTTTTAAAGGCTTTCTTCAAAAATTTAATCTGTTTTGTCTTTACTTACAACAATAACTCCTCTCATGGATGAAGAAATCAACCATCATTCCTCATCAACAAAAACGCTGCAGCGGACAATCTCTAAATGGCAAATGAACAGTTCTGCTGCTGGCTTTGCCACTGCGTAGGCTAACCACTCTTCCATTTGTGATGTGCAAGAAAAGTGACAGACCTTACCTGCTGGGTGTTTTGAGACCTAGTTAGATCTAGAAACTGTCACAGGTATCTATCACATTCAACATCAGGTAATTGACCAAAATGTTTTCTAAGTATGTATGTATCCATTCTTCTTTCTGGTCTAAAGTCTTCAAAAGGAAAAATAAGACAACTACATTTTACCTAATTTAAGGAAAAAGTCATGCATTGTTAACCAGGTGATCAGACCTATTAATAGCTGATCAGACCTATTACCTACCAGTGATTTTTACCTCAAGGACCAGGCAAATGGGCTGCAATTATTAAAAAATAACATAAAAACAAAAGACCAATAGAACAACAAACCAGTCTATTTTTTTTTTTTTTTTAAACCATGCATCTCTAATCAATGAGAATTCAGTTTCAAAAACTCATATATCTTGCAAAAGGATAACACTGGACTCTTTAAAAGGTTCTGAGCAAATCTTCCACATAAAACTATTAAGGAATATAAACGGGCATGGAATGAAAGTTCAGAAGTAAAATATACGAGGCAAGTCACAAGGATGGTTAGTTTTCAACCTGACAAATATAAATCAAGAGTTCTAAGGATCTGTATTGAAACAGTATTATTTTAGATATTTATTTATCCTTAAAAAGAGATACATAGTCCACTTGCAGCATTCTATGGATAATAGAAAATAAGAATATATTCTAGGCTAATGGAAACTGTGAGGAATACCAGAGGCAGTACAAAGAAAGATGATGGCTGATGACTAACTCAAGATAATGAACTGCATGTACATGTCAATGTTTCTGGGGACTGGAAGACATAGGAAAAGGATTAATGAAAATTTTACTCAGTGTAATTTAGTAAACAAATGCATTCCAACCACACAGAATGCTATATGAATATTAGACCTGACAATATTAGGAGCAGTACTCAAGAAATTATAACATATAGTTACAGAAGAAGTTAAGGTTTGAGACTATATACAGGCTTTATTTAAAATGACTTAATTATATCCTATGTGACTTAATTATAACTTAAATATATTATATATATTATATATAATTTCTGTTCCTACAACAGAAAAACACAGACCATCCTAATATTTGATCATTTATTTCAGCCCTGTACCTTACTGGAGCTACTTTTCTCTATTGTATTTCTCTATTCTCTATTTTCTCTTTTCTTCTCTGGAGATGTGGTTTGCACTGCAGAGCAGCATGCAGATTTTAAAAGCAGTGTATTTTAATGTATTATAAAAATCTTGAAACACTTCATTTATATAGTCCCAATTTGCATAGCAATCCAAATTATTACCATAAATTACAAAATTTATTATATTCACCCTAAGCGAATCACTCAGGTACAAGCTGTAACATGAACCTTTTGTAAAAACAAAGCCAACACCATTTATCACAGAAAAAATATTTTAATGTTGAAGATGTTTCAACCGTATTGCTTCAATATGGTTGTAGGAAAAAAATCGTAAAGTAAAATTAAGCATATCCAAACAAATTTGTATCTTTTCCAATTACAAAGTTCCGTTCTCTTTGTTCAGTTCCGCATTGCCAACATGGCATTTATGTCCCAAATGAGATTCCGTAACTGATCCATGATCTGCTTCAGCTGCTGATTCTTCTGTTTCAGTTTCTGTGGGAAGATTTTATGAGAAGATTTTTGTGATTAGTTGAAACAGTACACTCGGAAATACAAAAAAAAGTGTTATGAAATGCTACATGTATCTTTTTTCCCAGCTGTCTGTGTGCAGTGTTGGTGGGATATAATACATCATCTTTAAAGTACAATCTCAAAATACAAGCAAGACTAATGACCTTCACTAGAGAGGGAATGCTGTTTCTTTTCACAGCAGTCTTAGTATCAAAACACTTGATCCTTTCAACAAGTGGGGATTGGCACTCTCTTACCAAAGTCGAAAAGACAGCACGTTATGTAGGGAGAAGGAATTGAAAATTGAGACCAAAAGAGGTCAGGGAACAGGGAAATTTATGTTAATATATGTTGTGTAAGTTGCATGCTCAGAAAAGCAAGGTATTAACAGTCAAAGTCTGAAGAAAGCACAAAGCAGAGAGAGAGCCAATCAAGCTTTTCTAGCCCTTCTACCTATGTGGGTCAATCCTCATGTGCTAAGCAATCCTGTCTTCCCACTGTATGCTGAATTCTGAATTTTTTAAAACTGGGTAATGGCTTTTAGAAACAGAAAAAGCATTTGACAGAACAGCAAACTCACCTTTATTTGGGTGAGTAACCAGAACACAAAAATTATGTCTCTACAGAAGAAAGATCAACGCATTAAGGCACTGCAGAATCTCCCTTACCTTTCATGTTCCGCTATAATACACATATTTATTGTCTGATTTATTCACTTTCCTGCTCAAATCAAAGCTGTCAAGAACTAAGTTACTGTGTGTTGTTAACAACAAACCTAGGCCCTTCATTTCATTCAAATTTGATAAGATGTCAGCCTTCTCACATCAGAGATCAAACTACTTATTCATAAGGGAAGTCCAGAGTTCCAAGTAAAGCCAAAGTGCCAGAAAGACTTGCTACCATTCAAAATGTTTCAGGTTTGACATAACTTTGTTCTTCTGCACTACACAAATGGCAACACATTAAAAGAATAACTGGGATCAGTAATGTCACAAAAGTAACTGTAACGGTGATAAAAAAAAAAAAAAAAAAAAAAAAAAAAAAAAGCAGTAGGCTGAAAATCAGTCCTGAATTTTGATGTGAACAGCACAGCAATAGTTTTGAGATGGCAGGGTAGTCAGATGGAAAAGAAGTCCAGAAAAAAAAGAAAAAAAAAAGGAAGCCTATTCACTTCAGACCTGTAAAAACGGTCTTCACTAAAACAGTAATTGAGAAAGGGAAACATCCCTGAACACTGACTTTGGTGAACACATTCCCTGGAAGGAAACAGAGACTACACTCAATCTCAGACTCCTGAGAAGCAGGTAAGACAGATGTAGGTCAGTTCACGTGCACTAATTCGGGAGTTCTAACCAAGCATTTGACAGATTAAGAACTATTTTAAAGGTAACCGTGCATTTATCTAATCTTTCTTTTCTAGTTGCTAATTCAAGACTTCACTAGCACAAATCCAGCTCCTAAAGACAAGAAGACAACTGAGAAGCACGTAGCTATGACAACATCCAAATGACAGAATTTTGTCTCCCTCCAAAGCCAATGACATAACACCTCGGTGCTTCAGAAAGCACGAGAGGGATGAGATAAACAAGCACTTTCATACCCGTGACATTTTTAAAGATATTTCTGTTTGCCATCTTTAACATTCTGTTTCAGAGAAATCAGCGAATGTTGCATCAAAACCACTAGTTTAATGCAGGCTGCCACTCACTGATACTGAGGGCACGTCATTTCACTATTTTTCAAAGCCTTCATCAATAGAAATGAAGGCTGAACAATCAGTGATGATTATTCGAGTCACAGGTAGAAAGAAGCACCATTAACCTTCGGTATTGCAGATTGTGTTCTCTCTCCATCCCTTTCTAATTGTACTCTTACCTATTTTTATGTAGATATGCTGATATGAACTTTACATAAGTTACGCCCAGAAGACTCATTCTGTAAGACAATTATTTTCATTTCTTGTGAAACTGTTAGGAAATAGTAAATTACTTGATCTTTGCTCCGTGCTAGACAAGGGAAACTTCAAATTGGATTTCATTTGTTTTCAAAGTGTCTGTAAAGAGAAGTAGTATACAATTTCACCATATCTGCATGAAGATAATTTTAGATCCTTTTCTTTGGTGCTTTATTTTCTTAGCTCTTCTATTCTACTTTTTTCAGAGACAGGAAAAAAAAAACTAAGATGAAGCACCACGTCTGGACTGCAAGACTGAAGAAAGAATAAATGGGGAGGAGGAAAGAGCACGGTATCCTAGCTGAAATGCATCTACTGATCTTTGTTACTGGTCTTCGACAGACCGTGTTCCACACCACAAACTACTACAAAATTGCTAACTTCTGTGCCACTGGCAGTGCTGGCCTCTGCTTCAGGTTTTGCTGAACCAGTGAGAACATCTCAAATTAGCCTTGGGAAGAGAGGTGAAATGGCCCTCTCGGGAATCAGGCAAGTTCTGTAAGAAGCTTCTGCGGTGATGACAAATTTTTATTTGAACAGATTGCTTGCAAGTTGTCTCCCACTCTTTCCTCCTTCTCCTGAAATGACTTAGTTGAACTCTGGACCACTTCTCAGGGTTAATGGCTGTATGAACCAAGAAAAGGCGCTTCATCCTACATACATACCGTAGCTTCTGTCTTTTAAGATGGTACAGAAGAAATGTATGAGGCAGTTTATAATGAGTTTAACTGATCTAAATTCACCTTGTATCTGACAGGCAAATTTCAGATTGGATATCAAGAAAAGGTTCTTCACTGAGAAGTGTCTGGGCTCTGGGACAGGCTCCCAGCACAGTGGTCACAGCACCAAGTCTGCCGGAGTTCAAGAAGCGTTTGGACAACGCTCTCAGACACAGGGTCTGATTTTTGGGTGGTCCTGTGTGGAGTTGAACTCAATTATCCTTGTGGGTCCTCTCCAACTTGGGATATCCTATGATTCTGTTGTTCCCTCTCTAACATAAATGTGATCTGCCCGAAAAAACAGTCCTGATGGGGTTTCTGTGGTGATACTAATTTTCTGTGTGATTACCTCTCCACTTTGACTTGTGCTGCAAATATTAGTACCAGCATGAGGCACCTGGAAAGGACTGCACTCTTCAGCAACCAAACAGACCTTAGGAGGCTCAGGTCAGGTAGGGCAATTGCAAAAACACACACGTAAGCACAAAAAGTGGTAAGTGAAACAAAGAGGGAGAACCATCATACACATCCAGACAATACCCATCTTTCAAGGAACTCACAATAAACAACTTGACATGTTTCATACAGATTTGGATTCAGGACACTGTAATTTCAACTTTGAAATCAATTTTTGACTTAAATTCATTTTTGGTCCACTTTTATTTCATTTGAAATCAGGGTTGTCTAGACTAATCCACAGCCTTCTCTATCAGACATGTATCAAAACTTCCCTTTGCGCACTGATCCATCTCTCTCCTCATATTAAGCTCGGTTATCTTTCAGATTTTAAATCCTAAACATCACCATGAGTCATTCTGCACTCCATCTATTTGTTAAAATTCTCTTCTTCAAGCAAAGACAATAGTGTAAACTGTGGAAGAGTCAGATTACATTCCAGCTGATGCTTGTAAAAATACATCAAATGTATGTGCTTACGTTTTAAAGGTACCTCTTCTGCTTAACCAAAAAAATCATTCTGATGAATTCTGTGCCAGCTATACTTTATATCTGCCCTGTTCAAGACCTGCAACAGTGTCCAGAAGTATATCCAACTTAACAGAGCGTTAAATGTTAATCGTAGTAGTATCTTTACTTGCATAAGTCTCAGATTTAGAAATAACTGTGTTTACTTTGTTGAATACCACCCTACTATTGGGAGAACTTGTATCCTCTTCTTCTTCATGAGTATTCCTCTACTTCTGACCATTAAATTACTGTATGAAAGCATTGTTGAAAGTCTTATCAAGATGACAACAGCCTCTGCTTTTTCATGCAAGTCAAAAAGAAGGAATTTTTACAGAAGCAATGTTTATGATAGGTGAGAACAAGTACAGCCTGCCCTGGCAATTTATACTGTTCTTTTTTTAAATGACTCCTTCATAATGCAATCTCTGAAGTGAGGAGGTGGGAAAACTTTTTTTTTTCTTCAGATTTATAGTCAAAAGACTTGCAATGTTACGTGCACAGAACAGAAAAAAAGTGATGGAGAAAAATGCATCAGTACTTTGCTCAAACTCTTGTAGCTGCCAGGTGACAGTAAATTATGGCTACTCAAGGTATACCAAGGCGTGCTTTCCATTATAACAAGTTTGCACATCCAGCTTTTTTTTTTTTTAAGTGGTTAAAAAAGTATTAATCACTGAAACAGTAACCTGCTGGACAATTAAATATATTCATTGTTCATTAACTACAGCTTTTCCTGATCATAGGCTGCTCACAGACAGCTGTTTTATCCTTACGGAAATAAGAGATTGAGTTTTCTGCCTCTCTCCAAGCCATACGGGTGGAAGGAGACTGCTCACCTGCCTGAAAAAGGCAGAGGCACCAGTGGCAGCCTGTGCTCCACTACATACTCAGTACTTTACACACACTTGAGTCAGGCAGCAAATTAACGTATCCACTGCTCTGTTGCTCAAAGAGGAATAGAGAAGTGTTCATTCAAATAGTTTAATGTTTCCTTTGCAGTAATTATTCATTATTCAGCGATGAAGCCTGAGGCCTTATTTCCTTATGCTTACCCTGTAAGCAATGTAACTTTTAATGAAATTATCCATTCTCGAGAAGGTGCTTCTCCACCACATTCCTTGGTGTTACATTCCCATTCTTATCACGAAAAACCACACGGATGTGTAACGCCTACTTATAGACATCAAACTAAGTCACAAGAAGACTATGGATAAATATGGATAAGCTAGAATTCCTCTAAGTTTATTTTATCTAATGTTATGTGACCAAGGGGAGAGCAGGGAATTTTCTTTGCTTAGACATCAGTAGGGCTTTTGACACACGCACTCTCACAGTATCATTGTAGCCAAACTGGAAGGATGTGGTTTGGATAGGTAGATTATAAGGGAGCCAGTTTTCCACCAAGACTACTGAACTAAGTGTTGTGATCAGCAGTGTTAAGTCCAAGTGGCAGTCAGTTACTCGTGGTGGTTCTCAGGATTGACAGCAGGGCCAGTACTCCTAATGTTCTCATTAATTACCTAATCAGGTTTGACCTATATCAAGTTTGTGGGCAATACCCAACTGGGGGAAGCGGTCAATATGCTCAATGCCAGGATGTGCGATTCAGAGGGAGCTCAACAGGTGGGAGAGGCAGGCTGATGCACAGCTCCTTTGCTCAAAAGCAAAGGGCAATACCCCACACCTGAAAAAGAAGAAACTCCTACAACAACAGTACAGTGCAAGGGCTGACTGAATACAAAGCAACTTTGGCCTGAGGATCCTTTTGAAACTTTCTTGCACACTGAATGTGACTCAGCAGTGGATCCTTTTGCCTAACATTGCACTCTACTAGAAAGAGTCTAGCTATCGGGACACGTTAAATCACTTATTCACCTCTCTTTGGCTCTGCAGAATGATTGTCGAATTTGGGTCTACACAGAAGGCATTAACATTCTGGAGAAAGAAGAGTGGAAGGCCACCAAGATGATATATAGGCACATGGCATGAGAAGCTGAGCATGATATTTGTTCAGTCTCAAGCAGAGAAGGCTAAGGCGGGGCCTTGATGCTGTCTTCAGCTACTTAATGCAGATTATAGAAAAGACAAAGCTAGACTCTTCTCGGATGTGCACAGCAAAAGGATGAGGGGCAGTGGACAGGTATTTATAATGCTACTGGATATGCCCCTGAGTAACTGTATCTAATAGCTGGCCCTGCTTTGAACTGGGGGTTGAATTAGGTAATCTCCAGACCTCCCACTGAGCCTAAATTCTTCTAGGATACTATCCCTTGCAGACAGGCAGTTTGTGTGCCCAAATCAGCATGGAATTGTGCCCTGTGCAGATTAATGTGCAGGTGCCCAAGTAAACAATTCTTCCTCTCTCACTGAAGGGTTTCTTGCTGTGCATTTGTATTTGGGGTGAAAAGGATTCTACAAATACAAAACAAATTAAAATACATGCAAATACAGTGAGGATAGCTTTAAAAGAATGTGAGTTCACAGCAGTAAAAGAAAAAAAAAAAGTAGTTTTCAAGCAAAGTTCTTTCCTGAAAAGAAAGCCTAGTTGTGAATTGCTGTTATTTTAAGGACTACTTCACAAAACAACATCAGCTCCAGCGCACAATAGTTTTGTTACCAAAAAAGCCCTCAGGTAAATTCATAACAACTTAACTCAGAAGCCTGTAAATTGTCTCTTCCCCTCTTAGCAAGATCACTGTTAACCACTTAGCAAAGATTCATTAAGGGTATCAAATCCGATTATTTTCAAAAGGGCTACCTGCAATGTGTCAGTAGTACTTTCACATCTTTTTCATTTTCAGACAAATGTACTGAGACTACTAATTACACAATGGTTTTCCTATGTGCTCATTTGAAACCAGACCTGCAGCATCTGAAAAAAACACACCTGTATGTGCTCCATTTCTAAAAACAACCAGTAAAGAAAATACAGCAACAGAGATTACAGCATTCTGAGATTTGATTTTCTGCTTTTAAGTCCTTTTAAATGTACTACAGGACCTGAGCCTGACATCTTGAAAGTATTACAGATGATACTGTACTTGGAAGGTTAGACAACTGTAGGCAGAAGATTATCTACAGATATGAAGACAATTGAGTAAATTTTTTTAACACCTGCCAATTGTTGCAAATAATAATTATCTTCAATAAAAGCTTGCAGGACTTGGATTAGTAGACCAATGCAACAACTAATCTGATTCTGGAACAGTAAATTATTTATTATAGAAAAAAAGAGTGAAACATCTTATCAATTTACAGCTCTGGAAAGCAAATACCAATAAAAGGAATAAGCAACAATTTTGGGAAGAACAGAAGAGAACTGTTTCACACAAAAGGCAGAGCCAGTTAGTGCTGACTGAACAGCTTTTTGTTTTGCTTTGGTTTTGTGTTGTTTTCTCTTTCTAATAGCAGTGCATACTTACAAGCATTCTGTTTAGTAACTGCTTGTATGGCAAAAGTCCCTTTTGATTTAAGCCTAATAGGCTCCATTTAAAGTTATGGTTGCTGGATATTATTGAATTGCTAGGACAGAAATTCATTACCTCGTAAACTGATCTATATTTTTAATTAATGGACAGGGACTTCGTAGCCAAGGCTGGGGCATTAAACTTTCTGACCTAAAATGTAAGCCTAATGCAGCTGAATAAATAAGATGTCACTATACAGCAGACTGGTATCAGAAGCTACTGCAGTGTTTTAGAATACTGCTGCATCAACAGGTTCTTCTGCCCCAAGAGGGAGCCAGTAAAGGCAGCACACGATGATCCCCCCCACCTCCTCTCAACTGCTGGAGCAAAGCAGAACTGTTATGTTTCAAGTCGGTGGTTCCTGGAAGGAGGCACGTCTCTGTGTGAGAATACATGAAGCACGAGGTTTTATATGATCTACTCGTGTCCTTTGTGCTTCCAACTGCAGGGGAGTGTCTTTCATACACGCACAGGGCCACCAAAGAGATCAGACTGGCTGGGAAGTCAAAGCAAGAAGGACAAAATTAAGCGACCCGTGCTCTGAAGGTCCAAGAATTCAGATGGGTTAGGCAATAATGCTTTTTTGATACCAGCAGCATGAAAGACTGAAAAGGCAACTGCCTATCACAGCAACCAGGGTGAGCCGAGAGCGGGACAAGCAGCTGCAGGGAGAAAAGATGGTAGGTGAAGAATATAAAAAGCTTCTTCACCTGACATACTCGTTTCCCTGTTACAGTATTTTCATCAACATTTTATATTACTGAAATTTTGCTGAAAGAAACTAAGGAAAACTGAGCTGGAGATGGATGTCACATATTGCAGGGGACTGAAAAGCTGTCAGGAGTGCCTGCCTGTTAAGAAACAGAGAGGGCTATTTAAGTCCAGCAGCCAGAGACAGAAATTAGATCAATTAACCTGATCTTACCACATTTTCTTTGCAAAAATATGAATTATTTCCTTTCTAGTCGTGAAGAGTAAAGCACTTCCTGTTCTGTAATGGACTAAAATTTGGTCTTGGAAATTGGAGAAACACAAAATAAAGAAGAAAAAATGTCAGTGAAATCGGTGCAGTTTCAAAAACAAGCAGTTTAAATTTCTGTTGCAGCACATACTATTTGTCTACAAAAACACCACAGAAAGTTAAACTATCTTCTGAAAATTTACTGTTGAAAATCCGGTGTTAGGCATTTAATGTGAGGCATTTAAGTGTAAATAGAGGATTTCAGACCAGATTTAAGTGCCTGTTTGAATACATTCTTAATCGCAGATTTGCCACTAATGCTCCTGTAACCCCATCAACCTTTTCAAGATTTAAAGCTCATCATAAACATTTATGAAATTCTTTTCACAAGATCACACCAAGGAGGTTTAAAAACACATTAGCATACAAGTACAACAACAAGGGCAAAAACATGTCATAAAACTATCAAAAACACAGCAAATATGGACAGTTAAACTTATTAGCACTTAAATATTGCAAATGAATGTGCATAAATTCACAGTACAACATTACATACAATATAATATATACAACCTTGCTACATCAGCACCCAGCAGAAAGAATACAACAGCGAAGCTGACAACTGCTTTTCTCTAATTCACAGTCCCCATTTTTGCTTGTACCATATGCATGAATTTTTCTAAACAAGTTATAAAAAAATGGTACATCTCTAATTGTTGAAGACAAATGAAAATATTGGAAATATTTTAAAAGACAAAAATCCACCAACTATTCTTTGCAGGAAGATTTATTTTAGACATCCACTTCCTTTCTTCTGTTGTTTTTGTAGATTATGCCTGCTTTTTAACAAGCATTTACAGATATTACAGCTGCACAAATATTTAGAAAATCCTGTCTTTGTACTTTACAGACTGAAGGAACACTGCTCAGTATTGTGGTCTGGTAATGCTACTTATTTTTTATCTCAATATTATATTAGCATTTACTATAGAATATTTATTTTTAGATTTGAATTCATCTTTAGTAATTGTACTCAAATGTAAATTGCCATTCAAAATGAAAATTTAACAGCATCTTTCTCATTTATGGCACATTTTTTCTGAATGTGTCAAGATTCAATGAATGTTGTACTTAACAAAAGAAACGTTCTTTCCTGAACTGACAAAATACAGAAAGTAGCCCTGAAAATTCTCTACCAACACATATTGTAATAATATTTACATATCTGATGTTTAATAATCATTTTCAAAACTTGTATTGTGCAAGTGCATGGAGTGAAGTTAGTTCAACAGGCACCTCTAACTCCACGAGGCTGGTGAGGCCGTGGCACAGGCTGCCCAGAGAAGCTGTGGATGCCCCATCCCTGGAGGTGCTCAAGGCCAGGCTGGATGGGGCTTTGGGCAACCTGGGCTGGTGGGAGGTGTCCCTGCCCATGGCAGGGGGTTGGAACTGGGTGGGCTTTAAGGTCCCTTCCAACCTGAGCCATTCTGTGATTCTACGATCTGAACTACCAGATCTAGTGGGCTAACCATAACCTCAATATATATAGTCTTCTGAAATGGTATATTGTATTAAAAAGAGTCACAAGTTAAAACTGGTATGATATCTAAAATCTACAACCAGAGCTATAGCTAAAATAATCTGTTTACCAATGGTAATTCTGAAAGTTATATGCAAGAAATTTGATGGTAGTCATCACGCATACAGCCTTTAGTCTAGAAATCCAGTCTAGAAGTCCAAGCTTTCCAATGACAAAGTGACATTTTCTGTTTTATCTAAATCAATTTCAATTTTCTTACCTTATTTACCTCCATGATTTCCCTTCTCTCTTCACTAGCAAAACGAAGTTGACTAGCGGCACCACGATCATCGTGCTTGGAGCCATCTTCTTCAACATATGGAATAAGTTGCTGCGAAGACAAGAAACATCAGCTTTAAAAAAAAAAAAAAAAAGAAGGGGGGGGGGGGGAAAGGATGAGAGAAAAAAATGAAAACCGGAGATGTATAAATTACTAATATTTTCTCCAAAGGCTCAAACTTCCTGAAAGGAAAGGAATGGAGAAAATCTTTCTTCATCACCTCCAAACCAAAGGCCTAGACCTAAGTCATCTATCAAGTGCAGGCATAACCCAGTATTAGCTTTTTAAGATGTTAATCACAGGTGATACCTGTATTTTTAAACTATAGTAGACTTCCTATTTAAAATTTACTGTTCTGTACCATGAAATAACACAGAGATGAACTTATCATTACTATCAAGTATTTCAGTGATGTAGAAAACATAATTTAAGACTGGCTTTACACATGGAGATTAACTACTCGCTTGATACCCGAATTATGACTTGATATTTTAGTGGGTGTCTGTTTGGCTGTTCTTGAAACCAGGCCCACAGTTACCTAATAGGAGTTTCTCTGTAAGGATTTTCCACTGGGATCTCCTCAGGCACGTAACACACTGTCTGTTTTGTAAGGTTCTACAAAGCCAACCTTTGATAAAGGATTTTAAAATGAATACTAATGTACATTCCTTTCCATTAACAACAAAACTGTAGGATAAGTAAATGAACTAGATACAAAACAAACACATGCTTTGTGTCAAAACATTCCCAAGCTAGCATCTTATTCAAAAAATAATTACAAGCTGTAACATTTTATACATAACATACATAGTCAGTCTACAGTCTAAGGTTGACTTTTCCATCCTGAACTGAAAGAAGCTAAAATTGACAGCAAAATTACACCCTTGTTCACATATGTATGTATTACAGACAAATGAAAGACACTTAATTCATGCAAATGAGCAAGAAGACATTAGCCCAAAAGCCAGGGGACAGGTTGCTCATCAAATACATGTGAACTTGTTGCTTAAGTTGAGGTGTAGTATTATGAAGCCTTCAGCTGTGTCTTTCAGCATTCTGAAAACTTACTTTGACATAAGTCACTGAAAATTGACTTCTCTTCTACACATGCTTTTTGCAGATCATTCTCATTAAGCTCCTCAAAATGGACAAAAACTACCATACTAAACTCTGCCATGAAAACTTGGTAAAGGCTTACAACTTCTTGCATCTCCATACTATAAAGCAAAAGTAGTGTAGCCAGTATGTACTCTTGGGAAAAGCTCCTTCTCTCACTTATGGAAAAATAACATACATCCAGAGCAGACAGAATGTTATCCCCTAAAAGCCTCCCATCTACCAGAAAAGCTAGGAATTCAAACAAAGAACTACAATTAACACGCAAATAAGACAGTTCTCTCTAGAGAGGGAATTCTGTAACGAGATCAGCTTCACAGTAATCTCGTAACTTATTATGTTGGCTAAAAGGAAGTTGATAAGAATACCTATTAAACTAATAGCACATATTAATGAAAGAAATATAACATTTTAATATCAATAGTAATAGACTAAGGAATATTAGTAGGCACTGATTTTATTGATAGAATGTAAGGACAGAATTCCTTGCTATGAACAAGAAGCAAATAGGAAATAAACGAGAGAGAAAACAAACAAATGTTTTAGGTAGTTTCTCAAGGTGGAGATACCTCATGTAGGTTATGAAAGGTGTAACCTAAACTGTTCTATAGCCTGGACATTCAGAGGGCTTGCCTTGAGATCTCTGCATTAAACAGCAAACTAGCAAACTCCTGCACACCATCTGCAGTAAAATGGATAATGCACAGAAAAATCTATATGCCTGCTATCGCATAGCATATAAGAGTTACAGTAATATACCTTATACTAATGGTTGAAGCAGGTACCCAATTTTGCAGTTATTATAGACTACTCAGGAAGAAGTGCAGTGACAAACACTGACACTGATTAGCTGCATATCATAGAACAGCTTGGGTGGGAAGAGACCTTAAAGCCCACCCAGTTCCAACCCCCTGCCATAGGCAAGGACACCTCCCACCAGCCCAGGATGCCCAAAGCTCCATCCAGCCTGGCCCTGAGCACCTCCAGGGATGGGGCATCCACAGCTTCTCTGGGCAGCCTGTGCCACGGCCTCACCGCTCTCTGAGTGAAGAATTCTTGCCTTATATCCAATCTAGATCTACCCTCTTTTAGTTTAAAACTCTTCCCCCTTGTCCTGTGCCACCATATGCAGAGATACATTGGAATTTTAAAGGAAAAAGACAGGTCAAGGAAGTATGGATGTAGATACTACACTCTTTCAAAAGCAACAAAAGTTAAACAAAAGTTCAAAATTACAAGACAGAAGGATCAATAACAAAGGCATTGCACCTAAGTATTGTCAGACACTGACTGTCAAAGAATTAGACAGGGAGGCACAGAATAATTGTCTTGTTCATTGTAGTATCATAAGAAGGTTAATAACTGGAAAAACGTAAGGAAGAGCAGCATACATCTATTCCACTAGTGAGTCAGGAATCAGTTAAGTGAAAAGCCATTAAATAATTTGACTGATTAAAGAGGAGATTTGTTGATATTCTTCAAAGATAAGGTTAGAATGTCAGTCATTAAACAATATGATTGAGACTATCACTTAAAAGCTGAAAGTAGGAATTTAAGAAATCGGATCAAGATAAACGATGTGACACTTTCATTCACCCTAACTCATAAAACATGAGGAATCGGGCATTAGCTTCAGAGCAGCAAAGACTAAGTAGATAAAAGCAAAAAGAAGGCGTCCAACTGTTGATATAAAAACTCTGCTGTGCATAAGGTTATCAATGAGACCTTATAACATAAAGGCTTAAAGGGACTTCTCATTTTCTCTGTGGAGATTCCTTTTCATCCTGGTAACTGGGAAAAAAAAAAAAAAAAAAGTGAAAAGAAAAGAGCAACCCCAGCCCATCCCAACCACATGTGAAAATAAGAGAGATCAAAAGCCTCTAAAGAGGATAATAACTATTAAGCTTTTGCACACAAGTCAATTCTAACAAAGCACGAAGAAGGTGTGGGGGGGTTGTTCATTTGGTTGGTTTTTAAGGACAAGTTATCTCACTCCCTCACTTGTTGTAAGGTTTCCCCATAGTTTCTCTGAAACACACAGCAGTGACTGCTGACAAGGAGATAGTCTAGAACAGTCTGCACAGAATGGACTTAATTATGGACATTATTAATAATGGACTATGCAGTGAAGGGACTCAAATATAAAACATGACGCTTAAACAATTGAAACTCAGTTGGCAATCAGAAGTCGATAGAGTAGCCTCTAAGTCCAGGGGCCAGCAATTAAAGAAATTCACAGTTTTGTCTGATAAAGAGCTGTAAGAACTCAGATCATAAAACAGGCTTTAAGAGTAAAAAACAGAGTAATAAACATCTTATAACGGGGAGGGGAACAAATTCTGATTTTACTAGGAAAAGCATTTTTATTAGGAAAAACCTTTGGCCAATCCTACTTACGCATTATGCTGTTAACTTTTCCACCACCACAGCACTTTCAGATCTGGTTCACATTGGCTCAGAAGGTTAATGATAGCTAAGTGAGGAAACTGTGAAGACACAGGATGATGGGCAGAGCAAGGGAAAAATAATCCTCATTACTCAGGGCCACCAGGCAAGCAGGCTGAGGGCTTAAAGCAGACTAAATCAACCTCTTAAAAAAAACATTTTGACCCTTTTTTCCTAGGGGAAACAAAACTGTGAATGTACAAAGAGGCCTGAGGGAAAAGGCTACAATTTTAAACGAAATTTGATTTCAAAATTGTACCACTTCCAACTGGTAAGAATTGGTGGAACTTTCACACTAACATCGCCATCTTTCAAACAGCTCCTAACAATAAACAGAGTTCAGTCCACAGAAGAATTCGTCTCACTTCAAACCTGTTTGCTCCAAGCCTGTTGCAACCCATGAGAAGGGATGACATGTGAAACACAGAGCGGTGACTCTGAGCTGTTATTGGTACATACAGAAAGGTACTTACTTCGATGGGGACGGGATCGAGCCCAGCACAGTTTTCATTACATTTGTCATAGACTAGTCTCAGTTTCCTGAAGAGGATGGATAGCTGGCGGAGGTGTTCCTGCAGCTTTCCCAATCTGTCTTGATATGTTCCAGTGTGATAAGTAACACCATTTGGTAACTTAAAGGAAACAAAACCCAAAAACATTTAAAACATTCAAGTTTCTCTCATAGAGGTTAAATAACCTGAAAATAAATTGGAGGGTTTTTTTGTACATTTTAAAATAAGATAATCACATTATTCCCATAAAAATGACTGAAATTTCTCTTGTTTTTTTGGTACAGTTCTGTATTTTGTCTGCACATCTCATGTACCAAATCACTGCTCTCAAAAAGCTTCACGTATTCTACATTTTGGTCACTATCAGTCCCTCTGGAACTTTAAATGACTGCCTTCAAAATGCTTAAGCATTGTTGTTACCCAAGTATTACACTCTGTGTCAAGAAACAATTCAGTATCTGGTTACAATTCAAACAATCAAAGCAAATACATATCCGTAACTAAAATAATTACAAAAGGAAACTTCCAAAGACATGAAAATACATAGGGAACAGCAGTGATCACTTGCATGTTTATCTCTGAGGCTGAGTGCAAGCACTTCTGCTTTCAACAGAGAAATATGACACATTTGTACATTTTCTCAGTAAGTAACCACAATAAGGGTTTTGTCCACTTTAATAAATAAAAGAATGTTACAAAGTTTTAAGTGGAATACATTATAGATGAATGAAATCACTGATCAATGACAATTCCTCTAAAATGACTCCCCAGAGGTTAATAAACACACAGAAAAGTAAATGGCATATAAATACGCTTTTCTGTTTTCAAAGGAAAACACAAACACTAAGTGTATTTAGAGCACATTTATTGGGGGCAAAAATAAGAAACATTCTCCATGTTCCCTTAATATACAGTGACAAATAAATGTGCTCAGAGCAGCACACACTGCTCCAGCCACAACTCTCTTTTCAAAGCACTATGATTGTAGAATCATTAGGGTTAGAACAGACCTCCAAGATCACCTGGTCCAACCACCCCCCTACCACCAATGTCACCACTAAAGCCATGTCCCCAAGCACCACGTCCAACCTTTCCTTGAACACCCCCAGGGACGGGGACTCCACCACCTCCCTGGGCAACCCGTCCCAGTGCCTGACTGCTCTTTCTGAGCAGAAATGTCTCCTCATTTCCACCTTGAACCCCGCTGCGATCTAGTTATGTATGTAAATACCCGTAGATATCTCCAAGCACACACATTTAGTAACAATAACACTAGGAAGGGAACTGAGGACCCCCTAAACCACGCGACCCCGGCAGCAGCCGCCTGACCTGCATGTTCCTGAGGAGCTGGAAGATCTCCATGGTTCGGAACACGATGTCCTGCACCGTCTCCTGCCCGATGCGGCACAGCGACGCCGTGTTCACCTCCCGCGCCGCCTGGGCCTGGGCCTGCGCCCCGGAGAAGGCCCCGGGGGGCATCGCTGCCCCGGCCAACGGCGGGGTCGACATCTCGGCCGCCCGACCCGCCCCACTGCTTAAAATTAAGACGGAATGGTTCGGTTATTAATTAATCCTGTCACAACAAGCCTCAGGGCTCCCCCCCGCCGCCCCGCCCGCGGCCAGGCCGCACACACAGCGCGGGGCCCGCCGAGGCCGCGTTGCCTTGGCAACGCGCAGCCGGAAGCGCTCGGCGGGACCCGGAAGCGCAAAGGAAGTGACGACAAGGGGGGGGGCGGGCCGAGGGGGGGGGGCGGCCGTTGGGCTGAGGGGGCGCTGAGGGAGGGCTGAGTGCCCGGGGGGGGGCAGGGGGCGGCGCTGTGGGCGTCCCCTCGTGGTTTTGGGGCGGTTTTTGGGGCAGTTTTTGTGTTTGTCTGGAGTTTAGAAATAAATTAGCACCCGAGTGTGCCCGCCCGGAGCCTCGCAGCTCAGTTTTTGGGGTTGGAAAGTTGGGTCAGAGCCTTCGCACGTCCACGCTTAGCCCCAGAGTCACAAAATGGCTCGGGCTGGGAGACACCTCACAGACCGCCCGGTTCCAGCCCCTGCCATGGGCAGGGACACCTCCACCAGCCCAGGCTGCCCAAAGCCCCATCCAGCCTGGCCCTGAGCACCTCCAGGGATGGGGCATCCACAGCTTCTCTGGGCTGCCTGATCCTCTGCCTTAGAGAATCACAGAATCATTGAGGTTGGAATAAATATTGAAAACCATCTCTTCCGACTATCCCTTACCACCACTATCACCCACTAAGCCATGTCCCCGAGCACCACGTCCAACCTTTCCCTGAACACCCCAGGGACTGACCTCACCACCTCCCTGGGCAACCTGTCCCAGTGTCTGACTGAAAAGTCTTTTCTGAGCAGAAATGTCTCTCATTTCCAACCTGATCCTCACCTGGTTCAACTTGAGGCCATTCCCTCTGGTCCTATCACTGGTTACCTGTGAGAAGAGGCCGACCCCCAACTCCCCACAGCTTCCTTTCAGGTAGCTGCAGAGAGCAATAAGGTCTCCCCTGAGCCTCCTCTTCTCCAGCATCAAAACACATCACTAAAATCTAGGTAGACAACAACCACAGACTTTACCTCATCGCACCCTCTGAGTGAAGAATTTCCTCCTAACCTCTAATCTAAATCTCCCCTCTTTTAGTTTAAAACCACCCCCCTTGTCCTGTCATTATCTGATTGAGCAAAGAGTTTCTCCAATCTTTTTTATCAGTCCCCTTCAAGTAGTAAAAGGTTGCAATAAGGTCACTGCTGGAGCTTTCTCTTCTCCAGGCTGACCAGGCTCATCTCTCTCTCTCTCTCTCTCTAATGCTCTAATGCTGGCAAGGGTTTGCTCATACCATTTTGATAGGTCACACTGATAAATTATCAGTTGTGTGTTTATAGATGGTATATGATGGTATATCTGGACATAGACACACCTACATTAATTTTATACATCTATAGGCATATCACTACATCTTGCATTGGTACTCTTGTTAACAGAGAAACAAAATAGAATAGACGCCTTCCTCTACCCCAGTACTTACATGGCTATAAAACACTTCTGTGTTGTCTACCCTCTCTGCTTATGCTACACTAACATAGTCAGTACCGTTTCAAAGAACAGACAATGCTTTCTGTGCAAGGAAAAAAACACCCTATAAAAGAAACTGGGCAGGGGTTGTGAGGACTGATAGGTGTGAATAGACTATACAGTACCTACTGCTTATTGTCTGTCTTTATAGTAAAAAGCAAATTTCTTCATAAGCAAAATTAGTGTCAAAGTATTTCTTTTTGCAATTGAGGTCTTACCTAAGACTCAGAACGATTTTGACAATAAGTGCCTGAAAATGTGGAAGAGGGCATTTACTGTAGTTGTGCTGTATTAAAACTGATGTCATGAATGATCTTTTGTACAAAATGCATTGCATTTGTAATGCTGTTTAAAAAAAAAAAAGAAAAAAAAAAGAAAAGAATTGACTCATAATATACACCTTTTGTTAAAGCAGTCAAGGAACACTCAGAACCGTACATACTTGCTGTCAGAGGCATTTTGCTGCAGAAGGCATTTTTTTTTCCTCAGAAACAGGTTAATGAGGAGAAACACCACTCTATTCCCCACACTGAAGCTTTTTGCTGGCTAAACACTCTTTACAGCATGCTCCTTTAGCCAAAGCACATTGTAAATAATTACAAAGTATTTTAACAAAATCTGAACATCAAAAATACAAAAGTGGTTTCTTGAACTGATTGAAAAAAAATTGCTCATAAAAATGAGGGAGATATTTTCAGACAGGAAAAGAATATCCCACTGTGTCTGGCTAGACAACGCTTGGGAAAAGCAGCCCCCAGAGAGTTTCTAAGGGCTTATGTGAGGGCTTACATCTCGGTTTACTGTACATTAAGGAAATGATGCAAGAACTGTTCAAGAGCTGAGCACAAAGGATAATGTTTTCCTCTTTTGATTGTATGCCCAAGAGCTCTGTTCACACTGCTTAACTTGCTGCTCCAAATCCGATGGCATCTTAAGTTCCCGAGAGCAGCGAGCGGTTCAGACCACCTACTATTCAGGGCTGCCAGACACAGACTCCAGATACCGTCATATACCGAAGTGTGTGACTGCCGCTTACAGTAGGCAGGGGAAATGCAGAGCCAAGTCTGCGTGCGGAGGGTGCTGGAGAACGTTGCTAGGAGGCCTCACGTTCTCCAGTGCCAATTTGTGGAGCCATCTAAGTCTGATTTTTCACTCCCAGACAAAGGAATCTCCTCCTTTCAGATAAGGAATATTTTTTTATGTTTGGATGAGGAGAAGATGAATAAACATTTTGCTTTCTAAAATAAAGTGGTTAAGCTGCCTTGTGTGTCTTCAGTTTGGTCCAAGTGCTTTCCATCTGGAAGGAGTCCAGATCAGGCCGTCCATCTTTCGCATCTATTTCAATTTCCGTGGCATCGGTTCAACCAGTGTCTTAGGATGCTTCAGCCTCTGCCAACTATGATACAGTATCAAATCCTTTTCTTCTTTCTTCCTACATGGGGTTGTAGACAAGCTACCAAAAAAAAATAATAATAATAATAACAAAGAGTATATGTCTATATGTAATCTAGTCAAGAGAGGTTTAAACTAAATTTGTAATTAAAACTCTTTAAAGAGTAACTAGGTCAGTGTCATGTTCACAATAATAATGGCTTATGATTTTATTATATTTTAAGAGGTTCCAACTCAAACTGTGAGCAGCTCTGAAGTCTGCATGGCTCTGTTCCGTCAAGAAAGCAAAAATCCTCAGTAGTGAGGCAAGAGGAAAACTGTTGTTTTCTTTCAAACAATTTTCTGTAAGTCAGTGCCTGCAAGGCAATTCGAATCACTCTATTTTAAAATAAACAGAACTGGTGGAATTCCTGGACCATCATCTGTTTTCCTTGAATAAAGAAGAGCACGCTCCCTCCCAGGTCCCCTCACAGTATTTCTTAGCAGCCGTGCTTCGATGCTGCTTTGAGGGTGACAGATGGGCTTGGGGGAAATGTGTTAAGCAGGAAAGGACTTTCGTTCTCAGTCCTGTCCCAGTCAGTGTTTATGTGCGGATCGAAGGAGAAATAATAGGACTTTCTGGAACCTTTGCCAACAATAAACAGGCAAGGCACGATTTTGCTGTTACCAGGCTGTGACAGAGAGCAGCACAGCACGTAACTTCTTTAGCGTGTTTGTGGCCAACACAGATGGTAAAACTGGGAGGGGTTTAATTCAACAAAGATTGCATTTATAGGCCGAAGGAAACATTTAAGGACTGTGATGAGGTGAGGTGGAGTGGGGATTTGCTTTCTGTGTGTGTGGTTTTTGTTTTGGTTTTGTTTTGTTTTGTTTTGTTTTGTTTTGCCATGCTGTTGGTTTCCCCACCCAAACAAGTATCTCCATGATCTGCGAAGGCAGCAATTTACAGGAAAGCAAGGCCATCCACAGCACTGCTAGATAGGATGGCATAAATTAAGTCAGATGGGAGCCCCAAGCTTGGAGCACAGGTCAGTACTCCAGGCCTTTGCTCAGAAAGGTCTGTATGCAGCAGTTTTCTGGACGGAGGGCAAGCTGTCAATGGAGCAATTATAACCACCCTGCCATTACGTGCGCCTGTCACACAGCCCTTTGGTGCTGCAGGCAGGAAAAGAACCGCAGGAGATCAATGTGGAAGCCTCCCTGATTGCTTCTTTTCTTCTTCATTCTCCGTATATCCCCTATGCAAGCTTGTCTGTGTTTGCTATATGTTGTTGGCACCTTCTGCTAAGGCTGAAAGATGCAGGGTAAGCGTCGTGGCTCTTGGGTTTAATGCAAGTAGTAACCAACTTAAGTGGTTTGCCATAGGCCGTCCTCTACATATTCACAGAGTATAACAAATTGATTAGTAAAACTGGATTTCAGAATGGCATTATGATGTTCCCTTACAGTACAGATACTGTCAGGACCCACATTGCCTGCATAACTCAATCACATCCCTTTCCCATAATATGAGAACATGGTAAACTTTACAAGCTTTGTCACCTGATAGCTAAATCAGATGAAGTGTGGTAGTTCAATGTATATTTGGGGGCTTAAAGCTTGTTGTTTTTTTTTTGTTTGTTTGTTTGTTTTGTTTGTTTGTTTTTGTTGTTGTTGTCCTTTTGCAGTGAGTCCTGCAGTTCCATTTCTTGAGCCTGGCAGGGGTGTTACATCATATGTTCTCTACCTCTCCCAGGTTTTCTGTTTGACCTTCTTCTCAGAAGTGTTGCTCCTTTAAACACCATAGAACTTGTTTCATCTTCCCTGTTTTGATGTGAAGATTGTTGAAATAGCTTTCCCCGCGTTTTACATGGTGGCTTATTATGGCTGGTAGTCTGCACTCTCAGTATAATTGTGACAGAAGAAGAAAGAAATTATTGAAAGTGCCTGATATATATTTTTTCCCAGGGTATCCTAATTCAGCAGTCTCATTCTTATCATTTTCTTGCTTTTGCAACCACCCAGTTGCTTGTCTCTGGAGACATCTGAGAGTCCCAATATGATCTTGGCATGGTGCCCTTAGGCCCAAGCCCACTAGCTGGTGTCTCCTTTGGTCTCTCACTACCCAGCTCCTCTCCCGCAGCCTCCAGCCGTATCCTGTGCTCCAAATGCTGACAGTGCAAATTATTCAAACAAGCATCAAGTTTTTCTTTTTGTCCCAGAGTAGCTGTTGGCTG